ATTTCTGCTCCATTTGCATCTTGCAATGATTGTCCAATTCCAGCTCCAGCCCATGCAGTCCCACCCTGCTTGTTTTTCTCTCTCCAGCCCACGGTGTTTGTGCTCTTGGGCTGAGATTTGGATCATTTGTCCTTGGTGCCCAGCTGGAGCAGGAATTGTTTTGTCTCCCTGCTCTGTGCACAGAGCTCACCATCCTCTCATGTGAAGCCCAGACCCACCCACTAAAGCAGCACAGAACCTGAAAAATAGAAAAACTCAAACCTGAGGCATCAACCTCATCTGGTGGCTGTGACCTCACAGAAATTCCTGTCCCAGCTTCTGTGGGGAGGCACCTGAGAAAACCCAGAGGAAGCAGGGTGACACCAAAAAAGAGCTTTCTGGGAACCAAAAATTTGCTTTCTGGGAACCAAAAACTGCTTTTTGCAGTGCCAGCCGTTAGAGAAGCCCAGCCTGAAGGGAGCAGGCACAGAGGTGTCCCCAGCAGCCACAGTGCAGGTGGCCCTGTCCCTCCCCTGCAGCAAATTGCTTCCTTCTGTTAACAAATAAACCTGAGAGAAATAATCCCTGCAGGATCAGGAGAGCCCAGGCCTTTGGGGCCATCTGAGGGCACCAGACCTGCCTGGGAGGGACCTTCCACAGGTCCCTCCTGGAGAGGAGGATTGGAACAGGGAATCACAGAGCCATGGAATGGTTTGGGTTGGAGGGACCTTAAAGGAATGGGTTAAAATTATAAGGGAAGTAATTTTAGAATGTCCAGCTCTTAAAACTGTCCATATTTTATTATATTAATTATATTTATATTATTGATATGATATATGATATGATATATGATATGATATGATATGATATGATATGATATGATATGATATGATATTCTCACAAGCACTTGAACAGAACCATCCCCTCTCCTTTGGAGCTCCATTAACACTGGGATGGGTGTCTGGAAAGGATTTAAGAAAGGGGTAGAGGGACATGAAGTCTCTGAAAAAGGATTTAGAAGGGGGTAGAGGGACATGAGGT